TATCGACTATGGCTTCATGACAGGTTTCAGAGATAAGGACTATAGCAGTGTCCTGCTTTTGTGTGTGCACGTATGTGCACGTGTGCATATGTATATTAACTGTTTCTTGTTCTCTACCTTCCTTCCCTTATTATTCTATATGAGTTTGTTGGGGGTTGATTTTGCAATTTAGCTTTTAAGTAACAGCACATACAGACGGGGCTGTGGCTGATTTTGAGGAGCAATTCACATAGCCCAGAGATATACAGTGACAGTTGAGACCTTGCGAATTTTCATTTCGGGGTGACAGTGAGAACATCTTCCTTCGTATGAAGAATATTTGCATCCTGCTTGGTGGGGACACAGAGATGTTTTGGTATCGTGTGGAAGTTCATAAACCTGCACGGGAATGTGCACAGTAGGCATAGAGATGTCCATGCCACGTGAATTATTGTCTCCGAGCTCCAGACCCACCCTTCCCTGCTTGGCTGATGGTTGCTGGGGCTGGGACGCTGCACGCGGCTCGGCCAGCTGGCTTGGCCTCTGCCAACGGGGACACTCGGGAGCCCAGAAGGCTGGAGGAGAAGAAATGGACTTGCTCTTCCTGTGTGCTTCCTGTCTGCATGCCGTCTGTTTCCTGTCTGCATCCTGTCTGTTTCCTGTTTGCTTCCTGTTTCCTATTTGCTTCCTGTGCGCCTCCTCTCTGCCTCTGTTCACTTCCTGTGTCGCCCCAGCGTGCCGCTTCACTGCAGCAGCAGCTGAGTCCCTTGTGAGTTTTCCCCACACTCTGCAGGAGCAGCCATTGCACTGCGAGAAGACGCCAGCACCAACCGGGTGCCCCCGCCCCGCCCGGGGTGGGCGCTTCAGCTCTGCACGGTCCCTCCCCAAAGTTTCTAGGTTTTAGTATTATCATTCCAACCTCTTCCCTTTGTTCTTTAGCCCTGGGGATGGTGCTCGCTTCCTGAGCTGCAGCCTCCACGGTCCTATAGAAATCTCTTTTTACCCTTTTAATGACCTAGCTGACAGCAACCTGCTTAAGCAGTCCGCGCAAGAAATTCTTCCTGTTCAAACAATGGGCGGCGTGGTTTCTGTCTCCCGACTATACGCCGACTGACACAGCGTCCCGAAAGCGTCACCTCTCCTGGACATTTCCACATAAATGGAATCATTTAGCGTGTGCTCCCTTGTGACTGGCTTCTATCACCTCACACAACATTGTCAAGGTTCATCCATGTTGTAGCGCGGATCAGTACTCCATTCATGTTCACTGCTGCATAATATTCCATCGTATAAACATGCCACACTTTATTTATCCATTCACCAGTTGATGGACATTTGGGTTGTTTCATTTTTGTCTATTGTGAATAAAGCTGTTACGCACATTCGTGTACCTGTCTTTGTGTGACATGTGTTTTCATTTCTCTTGGGTAGATACCTAGGAGTAGAATTGCTGGATTGTATGGTAGTTTTCTTTCTTTCTGTGATCAAGTTCTTTGATAGCTAAGGTTCAAGAGTAATTTTGTTAATTAAAACAAAAAGTCTCTCCCAAGTGTCTGGAGTAAATATATTTTGGGTATAAATGAAATGGCAAGAATCATGTATCTTAAATAGTTTTGTGGGTTTTTTGTTTTGGCTTTTTGAGACAGAGTCTCACTGTGTTGCCTGGGCTAGAGTGCCGTGGCATCAGCCTAGCTCACAGCAACCTCAAACTCCTGGGCTCAAGCAATCCTCCTGCCTCAGCCTCCTGAGTAGCTGGGACTACAGGCATGTGGCACCATGCCCAGCTAATTTTTTTTTCTATATATATTTTTAGTTGTCCAGCTAATTTCTTTCTATTTTTAGTAGAGACGGGGTCTCACTCTTGCTCAGCCTGGTCTCGAACTCCAGAGCTCAAATGATTCTACTAGCCTCGCCTTCCAGATTAGGATTACAGGCATCGGCCACCATGCCTGGCCAGTTTTGTGGTTTTTTTTTTTTCTGAGACAGATTCTTACTCTGTTGCCTGGGCTAGAGTGCCATGGCATCAGCTTAGCTCACAGTAACCTTAGACTCTTGGGCTCAGGCGATCTCCTGCCTCAGCCTCCTGGGTAGGCTGGGACTACAGCATGCACCACCATGCCCAGCTAATTTTTTCTATATTTTTAGTTGTCCAGATGGTTTCTTTCTATTTTTAGTAGAGATACGGTCTCACTCTTGTTCCGCCTGGTCTGGAACTCCTGAGCTCAAACAATCCTCCCACCTCGGCCTCCCAGAGTGCTAGGATTACAGGTGTGAGCCACTGCCTGGCCAGTTTTGTGGTTTTTTTTAAAAAAAATTTTGTAGAGGCAAGGTCTTACTACGTTGCTGAGTCTGGATTCCAGCTCCTGGCCTCAAAGTGAAAGCTTGCTCCCACCTCGGCCTCCCAATGTGCTAGGATTATAGGCGTGACCCACTGTACCTGGCCCTTGTATCTTAAATTGTATAAGGAGAGGTTACATGAAACTAAAAATACAGAATCTTATGACGTGGACATTTTTAGTTTTTGACAAGAGATTGTTACATGCGAGTAAGATCTGCTTACAGTAGCCAGACTGACAAGTTAATTGTAAGCCACTTTTCTGCTGGGACTGTCCCTCCTTCCTTGTGGTGGTTGATGGAGCCCGGCAGCCTCCCTCCAGGACTCTGCTGTCAGTCCCACTGGAGCTCAGCTCAGCTCCCCTCGGTCCCCTTGCTGGTCCCTGGACGCCCTGCCTGGAGGAGCCGAACCAGCCTGGGTGTAGCGGGCTGGCCGTGAAGGGGTCTGCCACCCCTTCACTGCATAGGAATGAGGTGAAGGAGAGGTGACTGAGGGTACGCGCTGGGGAGGCCTGGCTGTAACGGGGCAGGGAAATGGGACACACAGAGCTTGAGGAGCAGAAATGCACAGGAAAGGGGCCTTAGCTGTTCGGAAGGTTCGAACTAACCGATTATAAATCCAGAGAGGCCAAGTACACCCCCACTGCAGTGTCTTCCTGCTGCTGCAGAAACGCCCTTGATCCCGAGTTCTAAAGGGCCAGCTGCCCTCCCTGGGAGAGAGGGAATGCCAGGCGCTGAGGCCCTTGTGGGGACCAGTGCGGGCCCCTTGATGGCTTAACTACAAAGCCTGCGCCTCCCTCTGGGTGATGCCGTTTCCAGCTCTTTCCCCCAGGGTGGGCCCCTGCGGTGGGGCTGCAGCCCCTGGCTCTTGTGGCCCTTTCATGACCACGGTGGGGCACCCTCCCTGGGCCGACCATCAGACCAGGCACAGCGGCGCCACTCGGGACGGAGAGGAGGGGCTGTTCCCCTGAGTTGAAGATGGGGGGTCTGCCAGAGTGGATTTGAACCCTGCTGCCCAAACTGCTTTCGACCTGGAATAGCTCTGAATGGGGTCTCCCCGAACCCCAGGCGGTCCGAGGGGTGGTCAGGCTTTTCCTGGCCTTTCCCTCTAACCATGTAGGAACCGGAACTCTTGCGCCTGCTATGAGAATTGCCATGTGTACATGGGACTCGGATTCCAGAATCTGCTGTCGACCCCTGTTCTTGTCTGTATGCCCCTAAAGAAAGATCTCTGTTTTTTCTTTTCCTTTGAGACAGGGTCTTACTTTTCACTTTGTTATCCACGCATGAGGGCAGCGGCATGATCATAGCTCACTGCAAACCTCAGACTCCTGGGCTCAAGTGATCCTCCTGCCTCAGCCTCCCCAGTAGCTGGGACTACAGGTGTGCACCACCATACCTGGCAAATTAAAAAAAAAATTTTTTTTTTGTAGTGATAGGGTCTTGCTATGTTGCTCAGGCTGGTCTTGAATTCCTGACCTCAATTGATCCTCCTGCATCAGCCTCCCAAAGTGCTAGGATTACAGGCATGAACCAATGCACCCAGCCCACTTGTAGGATTTTTGTTTCCCATTTCTTTTTTCTTTCTTTCTTTTTTTGAGACAGAGTCTCACTTTGTTGCCCAGGCTAGAGTGAGTGCCATGCCGCAGCTTTCACAGCAACGTCAAACTCCTGGGCCAAGCAATCCTCCTGCCTCAGCCTCCAGAGTACTGGGACTACAGGCATGCACCACCATGCCAGCTAATTTTATATAAATATATATTTTTAGTTGGCAATTAATTTCTTTCTATTTTTTTAGTAGAGTCGGGCTCTCGCTCTTGCTCAGGCTGGTCTGGAACTCCTGACCTTGAGCGAGCGATCCTCCCGCCTCAGCCTCCCAGAGAGCTAGGATGACAGGTGTGAGCCACCGCGCCTGGCCTGTTTCCCCTTTCCGAACATTCTATCTGCAGGTTTGGAGGTCTTGATTCCCAGGGGAATTAACGATTCTACCAGGAGACACAACAATGGCTCTAGTGAACCGGAAATTGCGATTACCATGACTGTCTAGGGCAGGGGTCCTCAAACTTTTTAAACAGGGGGCCAGTTCACTGTCCCTCAGACCGTTGGAGGGCTGGACTATAGTTTAAAAAAAAACTATGAACAAATTCCTATGTACACTGCACATATCTTATTTTGAAGTAAAAAAACAAATGGGCAAAAACATCCGCATGTGGCCCGCGGACCGTAGTTTGAGGACGCCTGGTCCAGGGCTCCTCACGCCGATGAACCAACAGGAAAAGAAGGGGCTTACTCTACTGTCTGGGGCGAGCGATCCCAACCACCAAGGGAAATTGGCTCGTTGGTCAATTCGTTTCTATTTTTAGTAGAGATGGGGTCTCACTCAGGCTGGTTTTGAACTCCTGACCTTGAGCAATCCACCCGCCTTGGCCTCCCAGAGTGCTAGGATTACAGACGTGAGTCACTGCGCCCGGCCTAAACCTCATTTCTCTCATGCACTGCCTACTTGAGTGTAGGAGTCTTTCCTCACCTGAAATATGTGTAAAGAGCTTACTTCTGTGCCTGGTACATAGCATGTTTAGTTTTGCATTTACCTCGCATCTTCTTTGTACCAGATGCTGTTAGGCACTGAGGGTTCGAGGTGTACAGATGTGTGCGCTCATTCTGGCTTTCAGACGTACCAACTTGTTTGTGGTTCTCAGCTTATGTGGATTTTCAAATATTTCCCCAACGTGTTTCTAGGGAGTGTTGTGAAGAGTGAGGACTTTTCTCTCCCAAGTTATGTTGATCGTCGCGACTACCCCCTGCCTGATGTGTCCCACGTCAAGCACCTGTCTGCCAGCCAGAAGGCCCTGAAAGAGAAGGAGAAGGACTCCTGGAGTGGCCTCTCCCTGGATGAGAAAGTCGAGTGTGGGTATTGAAGGGATCCGCAGGCAAACCCTGCATCTCTGGGAATTGTGTGTGTGTTTGCATGCCCGTGCAGGAGTGCCTCTGGGGGGCTAGAGGACAGCTGTGCACAGCAGGGTCTCTCCGCTAGGTTTCAGAGCGACTGTCCCAGGGCTGCGGTTTCTGTGCTCTGCCTGCTGGCCGGATGCTCTGCCCCGGCCCCTTCTGTGCTATGGGGCCCTAGCCCCCACCCCGGGGCGGGGCGGAGCATATGCACGGAACCTTTGCACATCCACTGGGTCAGACGTGGGTTACTTATGGAAAAAGATGAGCGAAATGCTTATCATTCGATAGGAAAGAGGCATGAAAATAACATGACAAAACATTATTATGCTGTAATTCAAATAAATAATTTCAGGCTTTTTTTTTTTACCTAAGCAAACCCCATGTGTTTTTTTCCCCTCCTTCCCCTATCACCTGCCTGTGCGTGAGGGCATGTGTGTGCACACGTGGGAGGTGCGCATGGTGCAGGCTGATGCTGTGTCCTGTAGCCCCCTGTTTTCTCCCCCCTGTGTTTTGGGGGGAAGTGGTTGAGCGCCGGGGCAAAGGGCGCTGTCGGGCTGCCTTGCTCTGCGTGCCTGCTGATGGCGGTTCTTTCTGTCCGAAGTGTATCGCATTAAGTTCAACGAGAGCTTCGCCGAGATGAAGCGGGGCTCAAACCAGTGGAAGACGGTTGTGGGCGCTGCCATGTTCTTCATCGGCTTCACGGCGTTCATGGTCATCTGGGAGAAGCGCTACGGTGAGTGGGCAGGGAGGAAGGGTGCGGGTGCCTGTGGCGGGGCTCGGGACGCTGGGTGTGGCCAGCACAGCTCCAGCGCTCAGCGCCCAGTGGCGCGGACTCCACACTGCCTGGGAGCCCTGAGATGGGGCCTCCCTTCTGGGGCCCGGCTCAGTGGTTTTCCAGGTCTTAAGGAACCGGCTTGTGTTAACCGAAGTCGTGGGAGATGAATTTATCAGCCAGAATCTGATTTATTCATAGTTTGCTGTACCTGTTTGGTAGTGAACTACTCGCCTACTTTGTACAGCACCCCACACTGCCAGTAGCAGCGTGTCTGCCTCCCAGTCGTTACCACGAGGCGACTCGGTGGCAGTCTGAGCAGGAGGAGGGACCTGTTGAGTGGCGGTCTCCGCTGCTCTGAGGATTGCCTCCCAGCCAGAATGCTGAGGCTCAGACCTCACAGTTTCGCTTTAGACACTGCTGGGGTTGCCCGCTCATTCTGAGGTGCTTCTCCTGGGTTTTTGTCCCGGCAGAACAGGTGTTTTCACATTCTGAGAAGGTATATTCCATGCTCTTGGGTTGAATGTGGACGTGGGTTAATAACAGACCTGAGCTTTTCCATTTGGTCTTAGGAGCCACCACGGCTCTGAGCTGTGACCTATAGACTCTAGCATAATCTACAGTCTGTAGGGAAGACGTGCAGCTTTTACCTTAATTATTTTATTGCTAACTTTTTACAAACAGGAATAATTTAAAGGCATCAAGAGTTGTTAGTGCTCAGAGATAAAAGCCCCCATGTTTGAGCAGGTGTGGAGTGGCAGGTGTGTGGGGGAGGACCTGGCCCATGTAGGCGTTGGCGTAGAAACGACCTGTAGCGACAGTCTTGCCTCATGAATGTGTCTTGCACTGTAGTGTATGGCCCCATCCCGCACACCTTCGACGAAGACTGGGTGGCCATGCAGACCAAGAGGATTCTGGACATGAGGTCCGGCCCCATCCACGGCTTGGCTTCCAAGTGGGACTACGAAAAGAACGAGTGGAAGAAGTGAGACCCTGCTGTCCATGCGTCCGGACCTCGCCTTGTTCTGTCACTGCTGTGCAACTCGGCATATTACTGGAAACCTGTTATGTCAAACTAGCAATGCTAATAAATGACGAGTTTACGTGAAATCCCTTGTGATCAGTTCTTTGATAGCTAAGTCAGAGTAAAATGTTTGTTAATTAAAACAAGAAGTCTCTCCCAAGTGTCTGGAGTAAATATATTTTGGGTATAAATGAAATGGCAAGAATCATGTATCTTAAATAGTTTTGTGGGTTTTTTGTTTTGGCTTTTTGAGACAGAGTCTCACTGTGTAGAATGCTCATGGACTGACAGCAGATCCTGGAGGAGGCTGCCGGGCTCCATCAACCACCACAAGGAAGGAGGACAGTCCCAGCAGAAAAGTGGCTTACAATTAACTTGTCAGTCTGGCTACTGTAAGCAGATCTTACTCGCATGTAACAATCTCTGTCAAAAACTAAAAATGTCCACGTCATAAGATTCTGTATTTTTAGTTTCATGTAACCTCTCCTTATACAATTTAAGATACAAGGGCCAGGTACAGTGGGTCACGCCTATAATCCTAGCACATTGGGAGGCCGAGGTGGGAGCAACGCTTCACTTGAGGCCAGGAGCTGGAATCCAGACTCAGCAACGTAGTAAGACCTTGCCTCTACAAAATTTTTTTTAAAAAAAACCACAAAACTGGCCAGGCAGTGGCTCACACCTGTAATCCTAGCACTCTGGGAGGCCGAGGTGGGAGGATTGTTTGAGCTCAGGAGTTCCAGACCAGGCGGAACAAGAGTGAGACCGTATCTCTACTAAAAATAGAAAGAAACCATCTGGACAACTAAAAATATAGAAAAAATTAGCTGGGCATGGTGGTGCATGCCTGTAGTCCCAGCTACTCAGGAGGCTGAGGCAGGAGGATCGCCTGAGCCCAAGAGTCTAAGGTTACTGTGAGCTAAGCTGATGCCATGGCACTCTAGCCCAGGCAACAGAGTAAGAATCTGTCTCAGAAAAAAAAAAAACCCACAAAACTGGCCAGGCATGGTGGCCGATGCCTGTAATCCTAATCTGGAAGGCCGAGGCTAGTAGATCATTTGAGCTCTGGAGTTCGAGACCAGGCTGAGCAAGAGTGAGACCCCGTCTCTACTAAAAATAGAAAGAAATTAGCTGGACAACTAAAAATATATATAGAAAAAAAAATTAGCTGGGCATGGTGCCACATGCCTGTAGTCCCAGCTACTCAGGAGGCTGAGGCAGGAGGATTGCTTGAGCCCAGGAGTTTGAGGTTGCTGTGAGCTAGGCTGATGCCACGGCACTCTAGCCAGGCA